TATGTACACACATACAAATACCTCCATAGACTGCATACCCCTATTTATGTATGCTCTTCTTACATAATAGTGATATATATATTGTATCACTATTGTGTGTGTGTGTTTGTGAAACTAAATCTAAATAATGTTCGCATGCAACTTTTTTTCAGAAACTAAAATGACCTGCCTTACAAATTAAGACACATCTTTCCAGGTATAACGTTGAGATATGATTCCTACCTCCAAAAACATCAATTTTGATATGGCGCAGAAATTAGTTCCCATAATAGAAGTATTGTTTTTCTCCTTAAAGAGCACTGACAGGCACAGCATATAGCTTCCTGGATGCATTCGTTTCAGAAGGTTACTAAACCATAGGATATTATTATTCTATGTTGAGCTATATACGACTGATATGCAATTCATTGTGACGGTGTTTTTTTTAAAGCTTAAACAGCCGGAGAGGTTAGTGCATATCTTTATAGGCGTGTGTTTCAAAGCGCCCGCATGCACCTGATAATCAACACAAAAAAGGACAAATGCAACTCAGATGGTCTCCGTGTCATATTATTACATACGCTAAATTGGCTTTGCAATATACTAAAAATAGCAGCCAAGGGGCGCAGGGGTGAGGCAACGGCTACAATCTCCGGTCTCTATACACTGTCATCACATTTTGTTCTCATGCGTTTTGAAGGTTCCTTTTCTACTGCGCTGCCTACACCCCTCTACATGTATATTTAAACTTCAAAGCTTTATAACAAGCTGGAACCACAATACCGTGTCTTGGCTATGTCGGGGGGGGGCGGGGGCATTTGATAATAATTTGTATTTGATGTTGGTTGCAAAACAGAACATTGCCTGAAATGCATATGAAACATATATCACTATCACATATGTATTACTATTGCATACTATACATTTGTATGCATACCAATGTCCGCTCATGTCTAAACTGTTGGTATTCTTGTGCGTATTTTAAACAAGTATTTGGTCCATGCAAGTATTTGGTCCATACTCTTAGTTCTTTCGGTAAAGTCACGTAGATAAAATTAATAAAAAATAAAAACAATATTGTTTTTTTTTATTAATAAAAAAATAAAAACAATATTGTTTTTTGTTTTTAATAAAAACAATATCGTTTTTATTTTTAATAAAAAAATAAAAACAATGTTGTTTTTATTTTTTATTAATTCTTTTTTATTGTTGTACACGAATGTGTACAACAAACCCTTAATTTTAATTTAATTTTTACCTACGTGACTTTACCGAAAGAACTAAGAGTATGAATCCTTGCAGTCACGAAAGCTTCAAATCTAGAATTAAGTATTTGGTCACCCATTCTAGGATTTGTTTACGCGTTAAGTTTTAAACTGGTAGTTGGTATGGTAACAAAACAGTATACGAATGTGTACAACAAACCCTTAATATTCGCTGGGTGTGTAATCGCGGTTTTGGGTATTCGGAGTAGTTAATTGTACTGTAGTGCTATTTGCATTTAGCGGGTTTTTTTTATTGTTGTAACAAATTGCCTGTACGTCGTTAAAATATGAAAAGTTGAAGATACTAAGTAATGTGTACAAGAGTATAATCAATGTGACACGCTCAGCCATTTTCGCCAGCTTGCCATTGAAAGAAAATAAACTGACTGACTCAAAAAGCTATGAGCTCCTTTTAAGAAATAGCATCATTGCTGGAACCTTAATGGAGACTACTCTGTACTTCTTTAAGGTATGGTCATTTGTGACTTTAACAATCGTGCATGACCCACCCTTTTGGAATAAAACAATAATATTTTAATTCACTCATAAAAGCTTTTTTGATGAATAAAAAAACATACAAGCCTCAATAAGGAATGTTTTAGCTCTGCTGGCAGGTATACTATCTGTAATATGATTAATGTTGTGAGATAGTTGAATAATATTCATATTTGGCAAATTCCCTTTCACAATTAGAATGTGTACTCTAGTTGTTCTTAGTAATTGTACCCAAAAAAATGTATATAAAGCTGCACGTTGTTTTTATAAGTGCGTGTATGTTAATGTTCAAAGTTATCCTGACTAAATGTAAAGCATGCTAAATGGGCGTTAATATCGCGAGCCACATTCTGCAGAATTGCAGGATAGACGTCTTCACGTGACTGACAGAATCCTGTTCATAAACAGAAAAGTCAACCACGTGAATGGTCCTTGACAGATTACTTTACACTGTGAAAGTGAGTGGCATGTTCATTGCAGCCACTTGCCCAGTGAGCAGTGCTAATAACCCAGAGAATCAGTATATGGCTCTTTTCACGCCAGTGACCTTTGATGAAATCCATCAAAAGGAGAGCATCGCTCGCAAATTATCCTTGGCTTCAGCACTCCATCAATTCCATCTCGCTATCATTAACCACGGAATTTATGTGGGTAAAAATGTTAAGTTTTTAATATGGTTATTTGCATATTTTATTTAATTAAATTTCACTCTTTTTATAGTCAGCTTAAATATTTAAGTCCTACCATTTATGTCAAATATATTGAAACTTATGATTTGCAGTTAGAGCATATATGAAATTACTTTCTTAGGAATGTTATTGGAATTGCAGTATATGCAAGGTCCTTTTGTAGATCTGCATTAGATTCAAATGATGCACATTCCCACATTTTTGAAAAAAAAATCAATAGTTACGACTAATATATGTGCACTGTAGATGTGTGAGTTATAAATAGAGTGTGATGCTTTTGACTTAGCCTAAGATTAGGTCATGCTGTTCTTCAGTATTTTTTATATATCTTATTAGTCATCTTATGAGTTGATGAGGATTTAAACATCCATGGCATTTGATTATGTTTTTGTTTTCATTGTCGATTAATAGTTTTTTTTTAATGAGATGAGTGTGTACCTATATAGAAGCAATAGACTGTGTAACAAAGGTGTTAGGTGAAGTAAAGAGACATGTAATAATGATATAACTTATGTCAGTGCAGTCTTGGGAAATCTATGTAAAATGTGAAGTATGACCACTAACGTACAATATTTTTATCCACATTTGGCCACTAGATAGAACTTTATTATTTATTAAAGTGCCCTTGCACAACTGCAAATGAGAAGAGGAGTAACTTGATGTATTTTTAGTCCTCTGAGGATGTAAAAAAAATGTCGAATTTATATTTAAATAAATGAAGCTGATATATGGCAAGAACTGTAGAAATTGTGTCAGTGTTTACAAATTGATGCAGGTGATGCATTTACGTTAAAATGCATCGCCTTTTATTTGGAAATTGACAAACATTATCCTTGTCCTTTTATTGTGTTATGTTTACATTTTTAGCACACAATGAAGAAAAAATCTATTCGAGTATGGCCTCGTTATTTGCGAGAGATACATTTCGGAGACCCTTGTGAATAGCACGTTTCCCGGATAAAGATATTGGCCTACGAATATCGTACACAGAACGTCTGCAGATGCTTCTATACAGCTTCGATACGTTTTCTCTCTCTACCTCTCTCATCTCTTAATTACTTTCATCACTTTCTCGCATCACATTCATCACTGTTTCTCATCAATTTTTATGTATCGCTCTCGGTGGAGTCATGTAGAGTCCCAGATACGATTTGCAGATAGCAAAAATCGCAAATAGCAAGCTAATGAATGACGAGGGAATATTCTACCTCACAACATCAGCAATTTACTGTTCGTCTGCTTTACTATATCTCTATGTTAGTCAACAGGCGCAAAATCTGGGTTTTATTCTGGACTCCAACTTCTCCTGTTCTTCCCACATTTCCTTACTTTCATTTTCCCAAAATGTCCCGTATCCACAACTGTCTCTCCGATTTGGCTGCAGAAACAATAATTAATGCATTTTTTACTTCCAGGCTAAACTGCTGCAATTTTCTCTTATTTCTTCTTCCTTAATTTCTCATACAACATGTGCACTGCATTCAAAATGCAGCTGCAAGAGTATTCACTAATACCCGTACGCGTCATCATATTACACCCATGTTATGGTTCTTCCACTGGCTACCTATTCAGTCCAGAATCACCTTCAAGATTGCACTCACTTTTGACCAAAGTCTTCACGGGCTAACCCTTGCCTATCTTTCCCCTTGGGTTTCAGTTTACTCCCCTCCCCGGGTTCTCCATTAATCTTCTCTAGGTCTACTCTTCACAACTCAAAACCATTGATTCTTTCGGTAAAGTCACGTAGAAGGGAAATAATAAAATAATAAAAATAAAACCTCATAAAATACATTATTATGTTTTATTTTAATTAGTTTTTTCTTTTTATTATTTTATTATTTCCCTTTTACGTGACTTTACCGAAAGAACCAAGAAGATGAATCCCTGCAGTCAAGAAAGCTTTAAATCGAAATTCAAAACCATTGGTTAACGAGAGTGCTCATGCGCAGGCCCTAGAGCCTGGAATACCATGACACTCCACATCCAGCAACTCCATTCCATCATATTATTATAATCCGAACTAAAGGCCTTTTTTATTCATGCCAGGCTATGTAATTTTTACCAAAATCACTCGGACAGTTTAGACAATTATTAAACGTCTGATTACTTCGTGAATCAATGTTTTAGTTTTGAATTTGACTGACCAATGCTAGACTTACAGCATCGCATATCAGACCATCACACATCTGCACTGCTTGGTGTAACTGCAATATGTTGTAACTCTTAAAAAATTCAAACATTTTCACACACAGTGATACATTCTTAATCGCACGTGCATTTTCTTACTTCTCAAACACAGTTAAGAATTTGCCCCACGTTTAAAGCAGTTTGATGTTTTATCCAGTAACCTATTCGAGCATGGTGTGGGCTGCACTTTTCTATCGATGTTCGCGAATTCCAACCTGTTCATTCACAGCATCTGCATTATAACAGCACGCGTGCTATGCGACGTTTGTCCTGTAAATTGGTAAATGTTTCCGTTGGCCCGGAGGCACAACACTCTGTTGTTCTTTGTGACACAGTGATCACGATGCATTCGATTTTTTCTTTATTCTGAATTTCTCAATTTCAGGTTGACGGGAATGAATTTACCCTCTCCAATCATCAGCAGCAAAAACTGGATGCGTCTTCGTTTCATGTCGGACAAGGACCGTCGCCAGCGAGGTTTCAGCGCACAATACCAAGGTATAAAATCGTCTGCCACGATCTGCACTTTGCTTTAAAAAAAAACAATTCCCGTAAAAATGTATGCTCGTCATTACATCCGGTAACTATTAGACATACATACGACTCACCTTCCCCCAACCCTTCAATGTTCCCCCAAATTAGAATTCACAGCGCAATTTCATATATGACGTTTCTAAATCATGTTTATACTGTCCCCGGTGCATTTTTCTCATTTGTTCTGTAATTTATAGTATATTGTTCTGTCCATTAGCCTAACATTAACATTTTCTTATAATTCTAACACGTTGTTAATAATGTATTCTTATATGGAACATTTGATGCACGTATTTTGAGCTTAAATATAGATTTTTAATTATGCATGTATGAATTGTTACATGTATAGTGTTTAGATATTTTATATGAACAGAACATTCGGTTCACTGCCACAATGTTTAGTAAAAAAAATAATCCGGTTAGATTGGCAAAGTGAATAAGTTGTAATATTCAGTTTATAAGATTTTTTTTAATGCATTTGTCATCATCTGCCATGTGCAATCTACTGCTGGATTAATGCCTTAGAGATCAAGATGTAGCCATTGCCCATGATCGGGACAAATTCATAAAAAGTGGCAAAATAATATGCATGTCTTTACTGTGAATACATATTACAATTTGTGTATACCCCAGGAAAAAGTGGAGGTGCTATTACAATGAATTCTAATTGTATTCTAATTTATCAGGGGCAATCATTAACATTGTATGCATTATTCATTATAACTACCCATGATAATACTGTCCTGTACCAGGAGAGCATTATTATTTTTACTGAAGAAGTGTTATGATAGTTTATGATGGAATATATATCACCTGATAATATATTTCCAAGCCGCAGTTGATTTTTAACTATTGGCTTGATTGAAGTTTATTCTATTTTTCTCCATGGATTCCCTCAATATTGTTTACCAATCAGTTTTTTTTTTCAAAATCAACTCTGCAGCCTTCCCCCTGACACACACGTTCTGCCACAGCAGACACCCAAGTCTGTCAGTCATTATGCATCTGTAAAATAATAATAATTTCCGCGTAAAACACCTGCATGGGGGATGTTGAAACAAGGAAGTAACTAAATGTATGAACGCGCAACTCTTATAACTTCGGTTATAACAAGTGCGCAAAAGTCTTATAACATAAATTTACCCTCATTATTACGTGGCCTAATGAAACATCTATTATAAGTCATAGTATTTGCTGTGAAAAAACCTTATTGGTAATACCATTGTCATTTGTGTCCATTTGCAATGCTGTCACGTTATTGTCCTAGTTGTGCATAAAAACATTGGTCATGCACTCATTGACTGCCATTCAAATGAAGCCCACCAGTGAGTTCATATACCATAAACTGCTCCCTTCTATCTGTTAATGTGTGCATGACCAAGTATATATTAGCCTGAACAAATTTCAAGATTGAACTTGATTCATGCCGTAATTTCATTTCTGAGCAATGAAGAGTGGCCAAGCCTTAAAGCACCATAATATACCTACCTAAAAGTTGTTTATGTGAGGTCAACCATTCATTTTTTAACAGGTAAGGCCCACTCAGCTATATAGCTCTTTTTCAGAAGCGACATAGCCACAATGATAGCTCAACAAAGTGGCATATCATGTGGACAGTTATAGCGGCCTAGTATTTTAAACGCATGTTTATAAATGTTGAGGGAAAAACTGGAGGGCCCAGAGAAAAATCCACACGATCATGGGGAGAGCATGCAAACTTCAGATGTACAGGAGTCATGGGTCGGGATCGAACCTGCAAACTCCTGTATACCAGGCGAGGTGCTCAACATCTCACCACAATGGCGCCCTTACCAGGCATGCAATTAATAATAAAATAAAGTGTTCACGTATTTATGTATTCTAAACTTTCTTTTATTGTGTGCCTATAATACAGCGAGGGAAAAAAGTATTTGATCCCCTGCTGATTTTGTACGTTTGCCCACTGACAAAGAAATGATCAGTCTATAATTTTAATGGTAGGTTTATTTGAACAGTGAGAGACAGAATAACAACACAAAATCCAGAAAAACGCATGTCAAAAATGTTATAAATTGATTTGCATTTTAATGAGGGAAATAAGTATTTGACCCCCTCTCAATCAGAAAGATTTCTGGCTCCCAGGTGTCTTTTATACAGGTAACGAGCTGAGATTAGGAGCACACTCTTAATGGTCAGTAATTAAAAATCTCTGCAAATGAATCTCTGACCACCGAATTTCTGGGAGTATGTGAGCATGCACGCATAGGTTATTCACAGTGATACAATGTTGAGTTATTTGTTCTCTTGCATTATTGCGTTTCCAATAAATTCATGAGCTGAATAGCAATGTCGAGGTCTGCTAGCCACCAGATGGTTTCAGGAGAAAGTTTGTGTGGTTGTGCTATTCCTCCTCCATTGAAGGAGTACAGCCCACAGTAGTTCACGGTACGGTACATAGTTTGGATTGCATCGCCACAGTTGCACTGTGGCTTGTCGTTTTTACGAAGAAGATTTACACATCGGCCTATTTATGTACTCATGGGATTGATGGTACACCAGTATCTTCGAGGAGGAATTTCAAAGCCAGGAGGTGCACTGTTTAGATCTTGAATGAGGTGTTTATTCTGGATGCCCACGTTGTTCAACTCTGTTCGCCAGTGTTAATCCAGATCCGGGTGAGATTATAGGATGGTGACAGGATGATACAATAAAGGGGATCAGGACATGAGTTGGTGGTGCGGTACATTGTTGAGGTCTTGGTTGATGAGTAGATTTTCGTTGGTAAGAAAATGTGTAAACTCCGTGGTATATATGTATGTTTAACTTGTTCCGGACCGTACGTAGCTCACCGTGCTAATCAGTTTGAACGTCTATGAATATTTTTTGGCAGAATGTTCACCAGAACAGGGAGCCAGGGGATTTGTTGTGCATTGCGTTATTTCATTGTGCAATCAACAAGTTTTGTGGATGAACTCCGGTCCAGGCTGGAGCACAGTGACTCTTCCACTGAGTAGATCAGTGAGAGAGAGGGAGTTTGCAGCAAGGTTCTGTAGCAGGGTCATTTATTTATTTATTTACAGACCTTGTTTTATTTGGGGCTTGAAGGTCAGCCTTCTGTCCATGATAACCCCTAGATACCGTGGCATCTGCTGTATGTATGTTGAACTTTTTTCACACCGTATGTACCCAGCCGTGCACGATTGTTCAAGTGAAAAAGACTTGTGGTGGTTTTGTAAGAATGTGGTCAGTCTCCAGTGACAGAAATATGCCACAAATACAGTTGTATCTGCTTTTAGAGTATTGGTAGTGTTCTCGAGGTTTGTACCATATGCAGCAAAGACTATATCACCTACATATATGAACTTGCATGATAACGTACATGGCAGGTCACTTATATATAGATGAAATATTGATGGTGTGAGTTTAGGGCAGTGGGCCTGCTTACCATCTTTCTACCCACTGCTTTCTATAACCAGTTAAGCTCATGTTGACGGTTCGACTACGCGACACAACGTGATGTGACGGGCCCGCACGTTGCCTCAAAAAAAATATTGATGGTGTTAGTACCTAGCCTTGAGGGAGGCCATCTTGATACAGTAAATCTGGCTGTGACAGTCCCACCTGATGACGGAGACTTGTGTTGCCTCCGAAACGTCGTGATTTATTATTTTATTTTAATTCTATTATTACTTTTATTAATTTAAATTTATTACCTACGTGACTTTACCGAAAAAACCTAAGAGTATGAGTATCATTCATATTCTTCTTGCGGCTGTGTTACCAGCGAGATATACCCTCAAAGTACAGTTGGTGAGCAGCAGGCCATGATTCCAATTAGTTTCATAGGCAGTAGAGAGGTCAATCGCTGCTGTGCCCCTGTTTTCTGTTGGCACTGGAAACCAGCTTCAACGAAGGTGGTGAAGGCAACAATCTGGGGGAAAGTTTGAAATGCATGGCATGTTCCATCCGCATGGAGGTGGAGGATAAGAGGGATATTGGCCCTGGATCTAGAGGGCACGTCTTGTGGCTTTCTGGTATTCAGAATGACAATGAAATTGGCTTGCTTCCATTCTATCAGGATGTTCCCTGTCCTGTCTGATGGTGAAGAGGTTTGCAAGCCATTGTTGACCATATAGTCCCAGGTTCTTTAGGGACTCGGAACACAAGTCATACTATTTCAGTGCCTTGTTGGAATTTGTGGCCCCGAGGACACCTATATCTTCAGCTACAGCGTATGGTCTTGTTAGATCTTTTGCTTGTGGTTGCTCACTCAAGGTAATGTTGAGTTATTTCCGAACAACTTGTTGGGTGAGCTTCTCGGACAAGACAGAATGTGGAAAGTCACAGTACCTGCTGTGATTTTTAATGGTATTTGCGTTTGGTAGTTTTGAGGCACCTAGATTCTGGAAGAGCTGCCGAGCTTAATGACTTGAGTGTATGAAGTCCAGTTCTGCAGTATTTTCTTCCCAACGTTTTCTTTGTGCAGTGTTCAGGGACTCCAGCAGAGTGGGGTTGCCCTTATCTTGGTCACCCGGTCTGATTTAGTCTTTCAAGAGTTGTTTTGTTTCTGGTTATGGACATCCCATATAGATTTTCTGATACCCTCTTGGGATGTTGTTTTCTGTGGGAGGCGCCACAATTTTTATGAATTTATGGAAGATTTTAGGCTTTGGCTCCAGAATCTTCGATTGGGCTTCAGTTTATTTTTCGTAGCTGGGCGAGTTGTCCTTCTCTAAACATCCACCACGGCCATGATTTTCAGATTATGACTGGTATCAGTTATACACTGTGCATGATTAACGGTCTGTGTTGACTCTTTGGAAAATTGTTAGTAAAGCAATTAGTGGATATCCATTCTTGGCTTGTAAGAAGAAGAAAACGTGTGGTTTATAGTTTTTCTTTACATCCATCAGGGTGAGTGAAATGTGCTCGACTGTTTTGGGTGACGATCATTACTCAAGTTTTCTTCCATCTTTGTCATTATTTGAGTAGACCCCATTGTGTGTTGTGGTTATTGTAGTAACCCACATATATATAGCCAGGCGAGTGGCTGCTGGTGGAGGTGGTGATAGACATTCCTTCTTCGGAGGCTTATATACACATTGATGACCGTCACATGGTCAGCTGTGACAGTTATTTTTTGACGTGCCATCATTTGTGGTGGATGACTTAAAAGTAGTCTATTAGGTGTTGCTTGACAAGAGTAGTGAGGCCAGCTTAGGATGATAGATGGCAGGAACAAGGGTGTAACTAGTTATTCTTTAACTTGCCATACTCGCGCTGCCTTCAACGCGTGCCCCCCTTGTAAGGCGACAATGTCAATGTCGTTGTCCCTGAGGTTTACGGCCTTTTTTGGGGCATTTAGCTCTGTTGGTCATATCTGGATTTTTTATTAACGGCTCCCATTTCAACCAGTTTGAGGGTATTCGTTGTGTTTAAGGTAACGTGAAAACCTGTAACAGGTGGACTACGAGAAGGCTACTGTTTGTCACCCAGTGAATGTAGTGAATTGGTGTGAGCTATTGCCTTGCATGCACCCGAATATAAATGTTTATTTTCTATCAGGTTACTTACCATAGAATGGTATTAAGCAACCTGTTGACTCTCCTCACGTAGAGGATTATATGTTGTAAAGTGTGGCATATTCGCAAAATTACCCGCAAGTTAATCAATTGTGAAGAAACAAAAACTATTTGTAACATTACCCCCTATGACAGAAACTAGCATACTCAGAGAAAGGCTTTCCTGGGTGAAAAAATAAAAAAAAGAATAGAGGAGGAATAAACTGCACGTTGTTTAGTCTAAAATATGCTTTGGCATAAAATTGTCTGTGCTCACGGTTGATGACATTGTTTGCATGTAGCGTGTGTGACTTCTCACCATTTTGAATCACTCTCTCCGCTTGGCTACATTTAAATGAAATTTCAAGTTAAATATAGAAGCGTTGTCTGGTTCATATTTTTATATTTTGTCATACAGCACGATAGGCTCCGGGCCACAATCAATGGCCATATTTTACACAGGTTGAAAATGCTATTGCTATTCCTCATGCATGTGTCTCTGCTACCCCCTTTGGCCATTCTGTCCCTATTGCTAATTCCCCTTCTCCCCTCCCCCGTGTGTTGGTCTGCTGGGTTTTCGCTTCATTTTTTGTCACATTGCCACACGTGCTGAACCGTGACACGGCAACGCACACCAACGTGACCCCATGAGCATTTTTGCAAACTGTAAATCCGCGGGGGGTGTGCAATTCCCGGCAGCTTGAAAGGTTGTGACGAGATACAATAAAAGTCATGGTACATGTTCAGCATGGTTTGCGATAATTCTGTGCAAAATTTGTGTTTCCAAAGCAAGTGATTTTGTGTGCAAAGAGGAATTATAATCCAGAAGCGTTTCCTTGTCATTGTGTGACACATTGACATTCACCTGCCTATATATGCACTATTCGTGCAATTGTATGGTCATCATTTGTAATAAAATCAAATATCGGAATTAAAAAATGCATATTTTTACAATCATTCTGTCTACAGAAGTGAACACGGAAAAACTAGAATTTTCCACTCATGTGATCAAGAAACAGAAATGTTACATGCAGTCTTCCCTTGTTATTCACGAACTTGTTATCCACGACTTTGGTTATCCGCGAATTGCATCTGGAATTCTACACGACTGCATTGAGAGAGAGATAAAGTGATGAGATAAAGTGATGATGCTACTGCACAACATCATCCTAAATTTTGTTAAGTTCATTTATAAGCTATTTTTTAATATAATAGTTTAAGAATATTTCTTTACTTAAGATTTATTTTCTTTGTTTATTCTAAGAAACATTTCTTTGTTTGTGTTTTATGATAATTTCCATATATTTAATCTCTTTGACTTAAAACTTTCGTGACTGCATGAATTCATATGTTATGGTTCTTTCGGTAAAGTCACATATATAGAAAAAATAACAATAACATAATAAAAATAAAGTGAATAAAATATCACGACATTTCTGATGATGACCGCTTATGTTGCGATTGAAACGTCGTGATATTTTTTATTCACTTTATGTTTATTATTTTATTGTAATTTTTTTCTATCTACGTAACTTTACCGAAAGAACCATAGAATATGAGAATAAGTTTTCCCCTTTTTTCTGGCAACAAAACAGGTGTTGAGATGTTAAAACACCAAACTGAAACCTTTTACAAGGAATCATGTCTGCATTAACCACAATACTTGTGGTCAGAATGCAAACCAAAAACATACTCTGATAATATATGCATTGTCTTTGAAACTGATTGGTCCACACCAGAGACAGCTTTCGTTCGAGCCTAGTCTCAAACGGTGTTAGACCAGAGGATGCCAAAAGAATATGTAATCGCTTATTACGTATTCATTTAAGGTCATTAATTAACTGCAAAATGTGCTATTCACGAGCGTCTCCAGAACGAATCCTTTGTGAATAACATGGGAATGTTCTAGTTAGGAAATTATGAACATTACCATCAGTTAGAAAAGTCTGCCTCACCTGCGTTTTATTTGTATTTTCCCCAGCCAAATTACATAACATGCACTGCAATACGAACAACCCCTGCAATAATTCAGCAGAAGTTACATTAACGCCGCTTTAGTTGACATGGGTACATGTTCCAGGAGCAATTTTATTGCTCCTTCATCTTCGTGAATGTGTGATGCGGATATGCCGCCTGTTGTGCGAAAATAGCGCGTGCATTATTTAACCCTTTCGAGTTCTCAAAGTGTGCTCGTGTCACTGTCCGTCGTCTCATCTGGCAGTGAAAAGAGCAGTTGATCTGAAGTCACGCGGTGTGAAGCTACCACCCAGCAAGGACATCAACCAGAAGCAGCCAGTGTGTAAGTTGGCGGTGTTCTTGCATTAATATTGCATGCGAATATACTTTGTTCGGTATCGTTTGACGTTATTCTTAACTCGTGTATTTACACACTTTGATTACCTTCCTCTTCCATGTTTTACTGGGTGCACAACTAAAATATGGCATCCTGTTAACAAGGCAAGCTCCTTCACGGAGAATTAATTAAAACCAGGCATTGCCTGGGGTTTCTGACTACATATCCAAACTTGTGGACATATATATATTTTAGATCTAATTAACATATTTAATTAAGATTATTAAACTGTCTCACATTTTTCATTTTTGCATTACGCATAAATTACACCCATGCATTCGAGGCACACTCATCGAGCTTGCGTTTACATCGCCGTTTGCGTTTACTGGGCAGGTGATGTTTTTTTTATGCTGAATCAGAATGCAGTGTGTGCTGTTTGTGAAAATTCTGCTTTGAATTGTTGATGTCCCCTTTGCTGCTTGGCACTGGAAGTGAATGAGGGTGGAATAACACAGGCTTCCAGCAGCTGCCCTGACCCTGGGGAGCCAGAACACGCCACCCGCATCGGCTCCGATTTCAGGTGGGTGTTCCGCAAGCTTGTACACAGCCGGCATGCACAAGCAGCCACCGCAGCCTCCGCAAGCATTTCGTCATTGCCAAAGTTCGCCTTCAAATCAAATCATTAGCACGTTTGATGTTCACGTCATTCTCATAGCGCAAAGCGATCATCGCGAAGCCGCTGTCTCACAGAAGGACAGTCTGCGGTAGTTTTGCATTAAGGATGGAGTGATGATTGCTACGTGTGATCCCGATTGAGTAATTTGTGGATAATTTGTCAAATGTGACGCTGGCACGAAAGGGCCTACTCTTCTGTTTGAAGAAGGTCGCAGAATGAGCCCAGCCACCTTTCCCGTTCCCTATCCCGAGGGCACCTGGCCCCGTGGTTTGTCGCACTTGAGGTGTCTGTACTCCCCCTCCCCGTCGCTCGCGCTCTGTGTTTGACTTTTTTAATAATAATTAAAAAGCGATTACATCTATAATAAAAAAAGGTCACAGGACATTTAACGTCCACTGTGTGGCATATACCTGCAGTATTAACTAGGGCAAACTGCGAACCTCAGCAACACATTGCATACGCTTTAGCTCTTGGCCATGTCACCGTTCGACATACAGCGCTAGTATTTGTGGTCAGGCAGAATGTGACTGTTTTGTTTATCATTCAGATATTTGGTCTCTAGTTCAAGTGTCGTCATATATAATTGCATACCTGCTGACACATGAGCAACATTTTCTTTGTTATGAAAATGGTGGTGATCACCTTGGGAGTCGCTTAACAAAACATCTGGAGAAGGAGTCATTGATCATGTTTGTCATCCACGGAATCTCCTTTGATGTTCTTTGAATCAATTTACATGGATGTAATGTTACGCGTCCGCTGCTTATTATTTTTTAAATGTAAATCAAAAAGCCCAGATTTCAATAAGCACAAAAAAACAACCCTAATTGTGCAAGAATATTTGGATAAGATAAAAAATAACCATGTTTTAGAAGATATCTTAATATATATGCAAGCACACGGTAATAGGTACACTTCACAATGTATTTCATTTTGTGTTCAAAGCAGGGACTATATGGCCAAGTATTATATATGTTCCTGAATTATGTACAAATGTTTTTTTCATTGAAATTTTCATATTTCATGCACATACAGTACATAAAACACAATGAGGGCTGGACACCTCATTTGTTCAGATGAATATGCATTTCTGTTTTTTTTATCAGACAATGGATCATTATTTATTTGGAAATGTCACATTGGTAGTGGTGCACAAGCAGAAGCAATACAAAACTCAACACATTTGTCAATAACACTGCGTTAAAAGAAAACATATAATTGGTGACGTTTCGGGCATGGGCCGTTTTTCATAGCTACATAGTTATGTTAGTATCATGTAATATACCATTAGTCAATGATACAGCTTGTAAAGAAAACTACAATTTAGGTTGGAAAACAAATTTTAGTAAATCACTCTAGCAGTTTTTTTAGCGATCCCCTTGCCTCACTGAAACTTGCCACCTCTTTTAATACTTACTTCAACAACAAGCTAATCGCCGTCGCAAACTCGTGCACGTCTACTGACACATTGCACCATTGTACCCCGCTCATGGTACCTAAAATTGTAAGCACTAACCCAGACACTCTTCTAATTACGCTAAAGCATGTGTCTACAAAAGACGTTTTCGCTTTAATTGGATCACTTCATTTGAAGTCATCTCCACTCGACGTGCTCCCAGGTTCCTTGTTCAAGCAATGTGCTCCGGAACTCGCCATCATGATCAGGAACATCGCAAATGCCTCCTTCTCTTCGGGGTGTTTTCCGTCCAACCTCAAATCTGGCCTGGTTTCTCCCTTGTTAAAGAAACCAAATCTAGATCCGGATGACCCATCTAGTTATCGTCCCATCACTAACCTCTCGAACCTCTCTAAACTCCTTGAACGACTAGCCCTCGCCCAGCTACAACCACACGTCACCTCCTCCGCAAACTACTGCTACTTCCAGTCAGCTTACCGTCAAAACTATTCCACAGAAACAGCACTCACTAGAGTGCTCGATGACATTTTAACGATCATTGATTCCGGCTCAACAGTCGCACTTGTAAGTCTGGACATTTCGTCAGCCTTCGACACCATCAACCATTCGCTCCTTACTTCCCTCCTGAAATCCGACTTCGGTATATGCGGCTCAGCACTCAAGTGGATAGCTTCGTACCTTTCTGACCAGCAATCTTCAGTCAGGGTGGGCATGTCCACATCGCCTGAAACAACAGCATTATGCGGGGTTCCCCAGGGCTCTGTTCTAGGTCCCCTGCTCTTCACAGCCTACACTTCCCCGATCGGCTGGCTCATTGCAAGCTTCGGTGTTAAGCATCACTCATATGCGGATGACACGATTCTATTCACCGCCATCGATTCTAGCAATGCATCTGGATTCGAGAGGCTCTCGGAATGTACCACCGCCGTGCAACAATGGTTCACTGCACACAACCTAGCCCTTAATCCGAAAAAGTCAGTGGCCATCATGTTAGGTACCAAGCAACGTCTCAATTCAGCAGCACTCCCCACACACATACACATCTTCGGTCACAGCATCAAGTTCACCGACCACTTCAGCTACCTCGGTGTCATCCTAGATTCAACTTTATCCTTCGACCGTCAAACCAACCATATCATCAGCTCATGTAACTTTCACCTGAAGGCTCTTAGACACATACGTCCTCTCATATCTAATGAAATTGCCAACACTTTGGCATGTTGCATAGTTGGGTCTTGCCTTGACTATTGTAACTCCGTCCTTGTCTGGACCTCCGCTGGCAACCTAAAGAAACTTCAAAGACTACAAAATAACCTGGCACGCGTCGTCATTGCCCACACTCATCCCCGCCTCGACTCACTAGCTCGTCTCCGCGCTCTCAACGGGCTCCCCATTGCCAGTAGGGTCACATACAAGACCGCCTGCCTCTGCCACAATGCCTTCATATCTGCCTGCCCGCCGTATCTTTCTTCATTATTGACAACTTGCAGCTCAGCACACGGCAGATGCCTGCGCAGCGCGACTCACGACCTCCTCTCGATACCAAGATCCAGGATGGTCATGTCTACGCGCCGCTTCTCGGTGGCAGCCCCAACAGTCTGGAACGATATCCCTCTGCACATTCGCAGCATCACCTCAATCGCCTCCTTCAAGAGACACTTAAAAACTCACCTCTACAATCACGCTTTTGAGCGACTCTGAGCTTGGCTCCGCGCCTCTGAGTTGCGGCCACTACGTCTGCAAATTTGCGCGCATTACAAATTGTACTATTATTATTATTAGAATTGCTTGTTTACTTTACAAAGAATGCACTTTTGTACAAAAAACAACATTTAAAATACTTCGATGTCAGAGAAAGTGACAGTTCTAAATCTCCGCTATTAGTATCACAATAATCAAATTAACAACGTTCACACATTGCACCACAATAGCTGTGCATCTTCCCAAGCAATGCCTTTTGAGACATAGTTTCCCCCTGTTACCTGAATCATCAGGATGAAATACACATAAGCATGCAGAACCACGTGGGATTGTTAATCCTTGAGTGTAAAGTGATGCCCTGAACATTGCGAAAGTGAGGTTTTCTGTGTAAACTAATTGATATCAAGTGTCAAGTTTCTGTTCACAAGATATGTAATAGTTTGGCTGCTGTTTCTCTGCAAACATATGCCATCGTCTTAGTTGACATTGATTGGCACATCAATGAGAGTACTCCAACTGCTTAATCTCTTTGGCCTTTGTGGCATCGAACATCGATGTAATATGGCCCAGATATGCCAAATTAATGCAAAAAATGTATTTCGCATGTACAACACGAAAAGTCAGAACACCTGTGATAGTAAGCAATGATAATGACCATGGCTATCAAATATGCTGTCCTAAATTTTTTCACACGGCTACATGCCCTGCTGTTTTAAGACTTTGTAAAAAGTTAAGGTGGCCAGAGCACGAAGCCACCATGAGTCAGAGCACAAACCCACCAATGCTTATATATTGGGTTTGAATCTGAGGAGCCATCAGTTTTTAAACCAGGTTTTCAAGCATAGTGAGGTAGCAAAATGTTAATTTTCTCATCTGATATGTGAGAGGTTGTGGATTCAATCCCGACCCTGACACCTGTATATTTGGAGTTTGCATGTTTTTCCCGTGGTCAGTGGATTTTTTTTTTGGGTCCTCTGGTTTTTCCCTCCACATCTAGACTTGACTGTCACCTGATAAAGATGGGTGTAATTACTGGTGAAACGTCGTACTCCTATTATTAATGTTGTGGATATGCTCTCCAACACACCGGTGTGCTGTACTAGTAACGAATTGGCATGTTCTGTTTCCGTGACAAACCTTACTAATTTGATGTCAGGTGGTGGCGGGTTTAACGACACATTTATATTTACGCGATCTAACCCCAAAAAAACTCTAATATGGATGATATTGGTCACGAAAGCCCATGTGTTAAACAAAATAAAAACTAGTTTATATGGTCTTTGTGGATAAACAATATATATAATTGGGAAATACAACAGAGCATATGGGAAAGTACATCAACTTATGTTGTAAAACATGAGTTTTGGTCAATCACACGGTTTTGTGAGGTTTCTGAATGAATATTTCATCTAATTACACGATGTTCTTAACATCGTTCAGTTAATGTATAACTCCAAATTGGGTTCTCAAGTGAAAGACGATGATCTTAGCCCAGTTACAAACAACTGAACAAAACATCGAATGAAATCGGGCTTTGCACTTGTTTCGGATAAATCTTATCCCAGATAATTAATAAGTAATATTGGTTTTATTGCAAAGCGGCATTGCCATTGCAGAGCTTGTGAGAAATTGTGACCCCGGCTGCTTAAAGGATAAAAAAAGGCTGCTTGAGGGATTTCTCTGAAGTCCTTGAAAGATATTTCACATGGGCTGCTCTTTGGGACACGGCACATGCTGCTTTGTGAGATTTCTTTAAAAAAAGATTCCTCATCTAATGACACGATGC